ACACTTTAAGGGGGTAAAACCACCATCCAAAGTAAGGCATGTCAAGGGGCGATTTGGCAGTTTCACTCACAAGAACATAATATGTTTTAACCAATCCACCTAGAAAAGCTTTCTCATAACGAAATGAAAAATATAATTTTCACAATTAAAAACAAAAATTAAGGGGTCAGCCACCCCTCACAGGCCTTACTTTAGATGGTGGTTTCCCTCCCTTAAAGTGTTTAATAGCAGATAAAAAAAAATACCTGTCGCTTAGTTTTTAGTCTACTATAACATATTATAAAAGAAATCAAATCGGAGAGATCGACCTGGGAAACCTTCCTTGTTAGTCACTGGCTTCAGTCGCCCTACCCTCTAATCGAAACGAGTGCACACGAAATCGTGAACACGTAATATCTACGAGTGAACCCCAGAACCGCAGTTTCCCGTGAGAAATCTAATAAAGGGCTAGAAAGCGCGACCCTGTCGATAAGCGTTAGGGGTCTCTATCGAGTCCCACGATGGACACCCAAAGGTCATCGCGTGCCAGAGCTCGTCTAAAGGGCTTCTAAATATGCCCAGACCGACCTTGATGTCGCGCCGCGTGTCTCGGAACGGCCGTGCCTGCGATCGCTCACGAAACTTATCAGCACATGAGATATTAATAGAGACCTTGCCTCGAGGCACTCAAGATTCATTACGTATTCCTTAAATGCCTCCCACGAGGAGTCCTGATTTAGATCCGGCGACCATGAATCGAGCCAGTTTCCTCGAAAAAGAAAAATGTCTTTAATAACCACCCTACCAAGAGGCGTTGCAAATTCGCGCGATCCGCGACGTGAGAAAAATAAAGGACGCAAAATGACCGAAATGCGTTTCACGAAGCGTCGTTTTCTCCTTCCGATTCCGCTTCGTCGGGCATTCTCTGTCTGGTCGATGGGGCGATGAGACAGCGCGTCGGGCAAGTGCCACTCAAAGGGGAAATGGAGTTGTAGTTACTCTAATTATGACGATGCAATTTAACGCTAGAACTACCGGTGGATTTTTTTTGTATAGGATCGGCCATTTGAAACCAGTCATTTTGACTGGTCTTGGTAGTTCTAGGGCTAAACAAAATCTCCCAAAATTCCAATTATCTCCAGCGGGAAAAGTTGCCCCGCCTTGCATCGTAAATTCGGAATATTCCGCTCCTTTTGAATTATACAAATGTTGGATTCTGTTTACTCCTGCGAGATTGTGACAAAATTAGTATATACTTTTGCAAGAAGGTAATTGAGCGAAGGACTGAAAATAAAAGTTCAATATATTTGCAAGAAGCATTTGAATGAAGCGCGGATAGTAGGGTACATAGAGCGCGAGAAAAACCATTCCCTTGATATTCTTTGGAAAGGAAAGAAATGGAAAGAGACGAACAGAGGGGCTACCCTTCCTTTATCTCCATTTCTCGCTGTTAGATACCGTCGTCATTTTGCACGACGCATCTGTTTCACGTAAAAAGAGCGAGAAAGGGCAAGATATCCCCTTCGGTTTCTCGTTTTCGATTCTGCTATCTCCATGCTATATCCCTACGGTCATGGTGCCGCCATGTGATAAGAGGGCATCTGTGTTCGCTGGTGTACAATAACGGACTTGAATGTCATCCCCTCTGACTTTGGCACAGAAAAGGCATTCGTGTTCATCAGGCCACATTCGTAATAAGAAATTAATAATATATTAGGATAATCTTCGGTATAAGAAAAGGTCGAAGCGAAGTCAACCTGGATTATCCTTAAGTGGATGTGAAAGTGGCATCTGAAACCTCAATCGTTCATGAAACCTTTCTACGAACTGATTGTACCGAATCGTTTCAAACTTTACAATCAGAACATGAAGGCTATTAGGTAGGTCCTGACACTCGTGAAATTTCATTTTTCATAACAAATTTAGAAAATATCTATAAAGAAATTGATTAACAATTGAAATTTTATGGGTGTCAGGACCTTCCTTATGGCCTCCACATTCACATTGTCAAGTTTGAAATGATTCGGTACCCAGTTCAGAGAAAAGTTTCATAAACGAGATCTCTTTGACGCCACTTTCACATCATCTCAACCCATAGGATATTTACGAAAGGTGATCGTTTTCACCTCTCACCTTTCGGCTGTTTAACGAGCCGTGTTGGCAGGTATATATATAAGCAAATAAATGTTAAATTCTATTAATTGCATCAGGAATGGGGCATAAGGTGACTTATAATTGGAAGAAACATCTAAGACAAATTGACCCGGAACTAACCTAGAGGATGTCCTCCGATCGAGTGTTCACCTTCCGCATTTGAATTCACGTGACACTGACACGTAGGTATGTATAAATAAATGCGATACATTGTGCAAAGTAAAGTGCCGATTATCCGAAAAAAACGTTCCTGAAATTCGAAGAATCCTTCTTTCGTCGTGGACTAGGAGAAACAGTAGAAACAATTTACATAAATCCTATATTCCGTTCAGAAAATGTTTGCCCTCGATATTATTCAAAAGGTATTGTAGTAACGGAAAGCAGTCTTAAGTTATTTTTAGGTAGTTTTAAAGAAAGCTTTGAAGGGGTCTGCCAAGATGCGCCTAGCAACCCGTAAAGTAATAAAAGAGAAAGGTCCTTCGAAGGAAATCTTCGGTTTCCTTCGAAGGATACATCGGAAAACGATGTATATAAAGCTGGAATTGCCACTTTAACACAATTCAATAAAATTTGTTCCAAGATTTTTTGTTAATTCATTGTTATTTTATTGCATGAGACAACAATTTTTTGCTCTTATACTTTTCCGAAAAATGGTGGCGATGTCAGCTTTATATAAAGCTGGCACTGCCGCAATAAAAAATAATTATTAAGTAAATGTTCATCGATGAATTATATACCAGAATTTATTGCTAATTAATTGCTTGCAGAAAAACTAAAATTCAATTTTTTTGCTCACCCCTAAAGGGGTGAATCGCCACCCCTAATGATGGTCGCAGGACAGAAACATGAAAAACGTGGGAGAATCGAACTATTTCTTCACGTGGGAATTAATTGCTAATTAATTGCTCCGAGAAGAACCAATATCTTCGTAAAAATACAATTTTCAAACCTACATTAATTAGCGATTAATTCCCACGTGAAGAAATAGTTCGATTCTCCCAAGTTTTTCTTGTTTCTGTCCTGCGATCATCACTAGGGGTGACGATTCACCCCTTTAGGGGTGAGCAAAAAAATTGAAATTTGATTTTTCTGCGAACAATTAATTAGCAATAAATTCTGGTATATAATTCATCGATGAACATTTACATAATAATTATTTTTTATTGTGGCCGTGCCAGCTTTATATAAAGCTGACATCGCCACCATTTTTCGGAAAAGTATAAGAGCAAAAAATTGTTTTCTTGTGCAATAAAATAGCAATGAATTAGCAACAAATTTTGCAACAAATTTTATTGAATTGTGCTAAAGTGGCAATTCCAGCTTTATATACACCGGAAAATGTGCGATCCACGTGTCGCGAAATATAAAGGACACGGAGGTCTAAAGCCGTCCCGAAGCGATAAGGGACGGCAGTCTGTAACCGACGACGACGATAACGAAGGGCGAAAGCTACACCACAGACTCACCTTATTTTTAATAAACCTTAGTTTACCTTCTGTTACATGAAGTGTCTCTCTCACGAATTCCTATATCCCTACAGTATCTTTTCGTCAAAATAAAGTGAGGACGTTCAACGATGATGTGCTTTTATAGTTATTAATTACCAGAAAAGACATTGAGTATAATCGTTGCACATAATTGCAGTTGTACCTGCAAATACGGTAGAAGGAGAGAGAATTTTCCTTTGTTTTGTCCGGACAGTAATAATAATAATAACAACTAAATTATAGATTCGGAAAACTGCCTTTGATATGTTCAAGAAAAGCGAAAGTACTATCACTTTAGTTCGCTCTTCACTTAATGTTTCTAAATAATGATCCTGTATATCCTGTATAACCTTAAAAAGAAATTGATTGACTCGAAAAAATAAGCATTGCTACAAAAAAATTTTACGATCAAATATGTCCAAAGAAATGTCAGTAAAACTAAAGAAAATTCGTTTAAATCAACAATATCGTTTTTCTTCTCAACAAAATAATTGTTTCTTGCAATTATATGATTCCCACAACAATATATATGTTAACAATATATGTTTGTTTCAGTCGTCTAATCTTCTTCCGCAGGATAACTAGTGCATACACGTGTTTAACGCGGTGAATCCAATGAGGTACAGTTACCATTTACACGTATTACCTGATTCCCGCTAATCCCTAATCCGTTCCTGCAGATTGAATTAGGACAGACATTCCTAATTACAATTTCAAGGCATAATGGCATTACTTGACAGTATTAGATCATATGACTGACATAATCCCTCAGGGGTGACGTCCAATCGTATAATGGCTCATCAACGATGCAAAACAGCAGACGAATTTTACATTAATCCTAAAAACTCACGATCACATCGATTCCGTGCAAAGTACTTTGTACGCGTTTGGAAGCAATCTCTCGTGGACACTAAAGAGACTCGTGGACACTTAAAATTCAAATCATGCATGATTCAATAAATATTCAACTAAAAATTACAAGACGTTCGAACGTTTTACGTATTCCACAAAATCTCGGCTCGTTTATTTTTTACTATAGCTCAACGATTACTCTCACACGTAGGAATACTTACTTCCCTTAGAATGCAAGTACTCTCGACGTTGCTCAGAGTTTTCGACTAATTTTCGCGAGGAAATTCTGTGAGCGTATCGTCTCTATAAGGAAAAGTACTTCTACTGGTCGGCCAATCGGTAAACCGGTGCTAAAGGAAGCAAGAAATAAAGTCTCCCTTAGAATGGAAATCCCAAACAAAGAACACTCGCCATATCCCCCGGTGATCGTTTAACACCATAATGGTGCGTGAACGGGAGTGCGCCTCGAGAAGCCCTCGGTCCCTTATTTCCTTTCCCCGTTTCTAGAGTAGCGGATCCTTCTCTCACCTTCGACAGCCGCCATATTATCTCCGAGCTTCATCTCGCTATCCTGCCCTCGGATCTCCGGTTCGTCGCTCCCTTTGTGGCGTCTCTCCGTGCGGTTTCTTTCAGGGTCCCACCAAGAAACAATCCTGCTACAGCTTCCGCCTCGTTTTCAGAAGGAATTCGCGACTACGTAAGAAGCCACCGCACAGTTTTTGCACATTAACTTTCTTTCCATTTCACACACGATAAACTGTCCACCAAGATTTGCATTTACGAACCTATCGCGATAAGCGTTCCATCGCGGGCAGTTTATTCGTCACTCGTGTCCGATAGCTGTTTAATTTGTTTGACTAGCTTCACTTTTTATTGGCTATTTTCCTTCCAACTGGTCCGGCGAATTTCTCTGGCGTATTGGCTCAGCCATGACATCGTTGCTGCTCTTAATCGCGACGTTCCCTCCTCTAAGATCTATAAGTCGGAGCACACGGTCGATGCAGCGCGGCTGCAGCTGCAGCTGCTGCACCCTTCTCAGCAACGGCTCATGCTCCGCCGCTCTCAGCAATGCGATCGACGCCCCTTAATTAAGTCATTTGTCGTCCACGCGATTAAACAACCAAGGGAACTCGGGTCCTTCCTTTCGCAGCTATTCATTTTCCGCCCTCCTTATTTCCCCCTTATTCTCGCCCTTATTATCCCGATGTGCCTCCACTCCGAGAGTCCCACGGGCCCTTAGCGTGAGTGTTTTGGACTAATTTAGAGTTAGTTCGGTGTTTCCGAAGACGCTAAAGGGGCAACTCCCTTGGGACCCGTGATCATCCCGATCGTGCTTCTTGACTCGATCGAGTCCTCTCACTCGCGAATTCGTTTCCTTTGATCAAAAGACAAAAGTTGGGACCCGGAACTACGAAAATATCGAGATCATTGATGGCCCAAGTAAATTCGTGATCACGTTTGATCACCGACGATTTTCGACCGCTCTCAAGATCGGTATCTTTAAATCCCTAGTCTCTACATTAGGGGAATGCCTCGAAGTTTTATATCGTTCCATAAACCTCGTCAGGATCGACTTTACTTTGCTTTTTTCCTCTTTCGCCCGCGTTTGCCACTTGTCTCCTTCTTCCCGGATTCCTTGGGTGCGACCTCTACCGTCGAGTATTCCGTGGCAGTTCCTCCGGCTTTGATCTGCGAACAAGAGTAATCGCAATTAGTCCCTAATAGGATCTAGTTACGCCCGTCAAAGGGAGATAACGGTAGATAACGGGGTAGCATGCGAATGTTAGGAGAAACATGGTACCGATCCTTGATCGTACCCCAAGAATTAGACGTAGGCGAGCAAAATCTGCACGCGATAAGTAACCTCTCTCCAAAAAAGAATTCCATTTTGCCAGTTTCCCATAACTCAGCCGTTTACACCCCACCATTTTCTACACTCAGTGATATCCCCAGGCACCGCGTAACGTGGAGTATCCGTAAATTAATCGTATATAAATGTTTATTGAACGTATGTATGATATATATAGATATCTATGAACTCTATTTGAGATACACTTAAAGGCTCGATATCCGGACATGGTACGTTATATATATTGTGACGTGTCGAAGGTACTCCATGCGACACCTGTGAAGGATAGACAAAATCTTGTCCCCGCGAGGCATTAGTAAACGCGACACCAACTCCACGGGGAACATAAAAACAACCGCTTGCTCGGCACGCCGAGAGGGAGCCTCGCGCACACACAAACATGGGCAAAGTCGCTAGGTCGCAAGATGAAAACTCGATGTTAAATCGAATCCAACGACGACATTAATCATACCTATTGGAGGAAACGACCGCGGCCGTGACCTCGACAAATCAAGGGGCGAGAAATGACGAAATCGTCTAAGGGTGGCCACCGTGTCCAATAGCACGTCAAAGAACGCGGGCCAGAGTGGACTGACGATATAGTAATAGAGACCATAGATTCCGCGAGTATAAAAGGCGTGGGTTTTCTCTACTCGTGGCCTTTTCCGATCGTTCTGTGCCGATCGAAATAGTTTCTGAACGTGGTGGGAAAGCGCCGCCCCTCCAGGAAATACCTTTATAAGCAATACCCCTGTAAAGCATGACGACAAGGCACCGCTCCCCCTGACAAGCGGGTTCAGACGCTCCGGAGACAAGGCAGCAGGTGCCATCCCGTACGAGCTCATAATGTTGCGCTTAGTAAACTGGTAGAACCAAGGACCCGAGGAAAACGCCGGTAAAGCGTCCACTCGGAATACATCGGACCACCTGCGAACGACGGCACATTGACGGAGTGCCCTTCCGAGAATCATCGTCATTTTTCAGGAAATACGACGAAGCTGCTCGCCCTCCGTGAAAGACGTGACGGTAAGGCATCGTTCCCCTTCCACGCAGCAGCGAGAGAGTTCGCGGCCCGGTCTCGCGTTTTCGAGTCTGCCCCCCCCCCCCCCGGCGTGACGTCATTTCGACGTTCCCTGGGTGTCTAACCACTTGAGCCGGACCCGGATGACGGGGAAAATGCAAAAACGGACGACGATGTCGGATTCTTTCACCTGTCCCTCGGCGTGACATCATTGCGACATTCCCCGAGTGCCCGGCCGCTCAAGGTGACTCGCATCCACGTGCAAATCACCCTCAGGCTCAAAGACGGTCTCGCGTTTGTGCATCTACCCCTCGACGTGACGTCATCGCGACGTTCCCCGGGTGTTCGGCTACGCGAGGCTGTTCCGTGCCTGGCGAGGAAACCCAGGAACCGCGGTTACCGAAGAGGGTCTCGTACCCCCGTTTGGCCCCCTGGCGTGACGTCATCGCGACGTTCCTTGGGTGACTAGCGATGCGGGGCGACCCAGTCGTTACCATAGGTGCAACGTTCACCTATACCTACGCTCCAAGGGCGTGACGGCATGGCGCCGTTCCCCCTTAGCTAAAGGGTAGCGGGAGCACATTGCGCAAAGTCTTACCGTGGAGCTCGCCCACACAAATCTGGTACAGTTAGAGACACAAAACGAAGATACAGTTACAACATTACGGGACGCAACAGAGAGACACGCAGAGACCTTTAACAACTTCGAGTCCACGACCGACCCATCCTCAGACGAGACATACATTCAAACCCTGTATTCCCTTTCTCTCGGCTCTCACTGAAGAAAACTGCTTAGAGGCTGAAGCTCTACACCATTGAAAGCCTTAGCTAATCTGAGATTGCCGAAAGAAAATCCAGAGTGGGCCGAAAAGGCTAGAGTAAGACACTTCCTCGTGACCTCTCCTGTGCGCGACACGGCGCGACGGACCAAGGGGGGACAGGTACGCGAGAAACGGCTACTACGATCTGTGTGTACGCGCGCGTGCGTGTGTCAGCGCGCGCGCGTGTCGTAGATATCTACAATAGGTGGTCTATAGATATTCATATGTATTTGTAAAAAAAATTAAGTTCATTTCACTTTTAGAGCAGAGTCTGTTTGAGAACTTGTTCAGTACAGCTATGCAGACAAATACTGCTGTTTTTGACACTGAAACATTTTTTCGCAATTGTTGGGATTTGAGCCGGGACGCACACGTAGGAAGCAGGAACGTTAACCATAATGGTATCAAGGAATAAGTATTTTTCGGACTCATAAAGACCGCTCCGGTACTTCTCGGTCGGTGCTAAAGATACTTATTCCATCTTGTTGTAAACTTATTCTTAAAAAAAAATTCGGAAGTTATTGTAAAACTACGAGTCATTAAAAAAACTGTAACAGTATGTTATAAAATCATCTTTTTATTTAAAAGTGTATAATAAATGTATATCGATTCACTTTTAAGTCACTAAACTCATCATTTTAGTACAACCTTATATACTAAAAGCGCATGAATTTGATGAATATTATTTAAAGATATTTAATTTAAATGTGCGCAATTTTTTAGTGTAACTGCATTTTTAGAAGTCTGTTAAAGCTGAATATAAACTACCAATTTAACGTTTTCGAAGTTTAAATTTCTATACAAGTTATCTAGACTTCTATGATATAGATACTGCAAAAATAGAGGTGAAAAAGATTTGCATATATATTCACGGGATATTTTTATTATGCATACCATAGATTGTGTAACTATTCTATACTTTTGTCCCAATTTGTACCTCCACTGTAGGTATATAATACTTCATACGGTGCTTCGTAATGCATGATAATTTACATTGTGGTAAATTATCATGATCCAGCCAAAGAGGAAGTAAACAAAAATCAGAGTCTGGACAAAATTAACAGTTTTATCAAGTTGGAATTTAGATATAAACATTAAGTATGTATGAAAAATGTTAAGTTACATGAGGTGACTTCTTATTTTTCTAAACGTATTTTCAACGATGTTGATTAACCTTTGATGATGTCTACTAGAACTACTATATATTTTGTATGTATCAAGAAATAAATAAATGTTCGTAGATCAATAGTGGATATATCATTTTCATCTACAATAGACATAGATATTTATATGTATCCTTTAGATATTTTTTTAGGTGGATGATAGACGATAAACATTTACTATACTCATAGACCTAATTTAGAGGATTAATTTACGTATATTTCACTCCATGGGTTATCTGGATCGTCACTCCGGAACCTTAATTGAAAAGAACGGGGTTAATCAGGGTGGATATGTGTAAATGCGTGATTTGGAGTAAGTTGACCAAACAAAATTTCAAGCGGCGTCTGCAACAGAGTTTATAATAGCTGAGAGAACTCGTAGATGCTAATGCAACGGTGCAGGGTTGCCTCAATTGGCAAAGAATAAACGATTCGTTGAAGGAACGTTCCATGTTTCACTTTCTGCACGCGAAGGTCGCAAAGTGTCCGAGCAGCCACAGTCGTATATTGTGATCCGTTCTTGGTCTTGTCATCCGACCCGGCCGAGCGCCTATATTTTATACGGTCAAGATAATCTCTAGTATCTCAACGAACTAAGGCGAGGAAACTACTAGAATCGGTCGCGAATGAATCGCGACATTAAGTGTCGGCCATAGCGACACAAATTACCGGTAAACCTGGAGCAGAATGGCTCCTGGCGACTCGTTCTGAGAAAAGGAGCTCTCCGAGTGCCGACCCTAACCGATTCAACGAGATTGTAAAGAATACAGAGCACGGAGGTTCTTATCGTTCTCTCTTTGTAGAATGAACACGCTCCCGGTTCTTTCACTCCCCGACCTTACAATACATATTAGAGACCGCTAACACGGCTTATTGGCTTCTATAAAAGCACGAGCTTCGGTAAAGATGAAGCATAAGTGTTGCCCCCCTCTCCCGTTACATTATGCATCCTGGTCATTTAACTGTTCGGCAGTAACGAGCTTGCACGTGAAAAATTCGTTACAATTAACACGTCTCTATGATGATAACGCATACCCATGTAACGAGGTAAACAGAAAAAATACCAATTTTCTCTAGAAGTATGGAAATTCCTTCGAGATACACTATTTGAAAAGATACCCGATTAGCGTGTGCAGCTACATTTTCACATTGTGCAGGGATTTTTTTATGAATGTATGTAATACAGGTTTCTACATACTGAGGGTAATGAGATGAATCTATCTTAGGAGATTAAATGCGAATACTATGTGAGAATGCTTTGTTAGTGATGGATTATGATACATTTTGATAGGAAGTAATAAAAATAAAATAAAAATAATATAAAATAAAAATATCAATGACAAAAAATATCAAACAAAAATCATAAAAATAAAATTAAAATATCAATTTGCATAATTAAATTGTTTTGTTGTTACTCGACCAATATCGGGGTTGTCTGCATAGTGATGCCAACGTTACAAACAGGCTCGCGAAGAACGCCGAATCAATTAACTCATTTTTTATTACTTTGTTAGGAACAGAGATTGTGATTATTTAGAAACTGGAATCACTCAACCGCAGTGCCTTCACTCATGCGCAAACTCTGTATGGTATTTTTTGTCTAAACTATGTCTGTGGTCTGATATCTACTTAAATGACATGGAGTTTTTTTCGAATCCGTATACTGTCAATATTATATTAATCAATTTTATAGTGACATCAAAACGCACATATTATTGTTTACTACATGCAGACAATTTCAGTTCAATTATAAAAATCTACAAGCTACCAGAGGTAATTTATACCAAGCAGCATTTCAAGATAACACACACCATGAATTCTGGGAATTGCAATTATGGGATACGGATATGGGCCTGCCATATTCTTTGATCATCATAACGACAGTAAAAAAGTTCATAACGTGTTTTTAGCTTGAAAAAATCATTTCCAGAAAAGTAATCCTCAAATAAATTTAAGCTCCTCTTTCTTTTTGACCAATCTTCATCTCCATTCTCTGCAACCGTACACGTGCTCTCTCCGTTGATACGTCACCAATCCACAATCGTTTTTAATCAATAAATTCAGACACGTGCATCTATCGTACCCTCTCAAATATCAATATCGGAGCAGAAATGAAAGCTGTACTGTTCCATCGCGTCGTCAACGTAAGCGATCGTTTCTTTCCTGAGGACGTAAGTCTGCGATTTGCAATTAAATTCGCGAACACGACAATAACGCGACGTCCGTACGCCAACTTAGTTTTGTAGGGCTGTTTCTTGTTGAATGTAAACCTGAGCGAAACTGCTCTTAAAAGTTATGTGTTCTCTTATTGAGATTGTTGTACCAAGTTGACTGGTTAAAATTTGTGAACCAAGTGCTGCTCTTCGAGACTCACAATGTTCTCGAAGCTGTTCGCTATGTCTCCCTTGCAAAGTGGAAGGTTAACAAAATTGGTATCCTCAAATCAGAGAATCGTGTGTATTGGATCGTTCAAAAACTTAACAATTTATTTTAACGATCTGAGCTTATGTTCGAAGGTGTACAATGGAAGTCCGGTTCTTGAAGTATATTGTGTTCGATAACGCGCGGAAATCTAAGTCCAGTGCAATGTCGCGCGCGAAGCGATTGAAGTTAGTCCGCCGGAGATTGTAGAAGATCCTGACTGTGCTCCGAGGGACTCCTTTTTAAAGCGTTTTCGGATGCTGTCCTCTAGGGCGGAGTTTTTTGCAAAGCGTTCGCTGATAGGCATGGCGAAGTAAAAGTGGGATTGATAATCGAAGGCGATTGATTAATGAGGACTGAGAAAGGGAAAAGTTAGTGTTGTTTAAAGAGACTTAGGTGGGGAATAAAAAAAATGGGCTATAGGAACAGGAGTTCCTAGAAGTAAAAAAATCATGGGCTAAAGGACCGCGGTAGTAGATAAGAGAGCGAAGCGCTAGAGTTTCTGTTTAGACATCAATTTAAGTTATGAGCGTAATACGTGACTGAATTAATGGTGCTATGTGACATGGAGAGACACGAGGAAAAATAAACGGAATTTGAAATAAGGAAGAAATAGAACATCTAGATCGCTGCAGAGAGTATTCCAATTAAAATTTAGCGTTATAATTATTAGATTATGGATTAGTCCTAACAGTCCCGTATTTGCAGAAATGAAGGTGGGGATGTTAATTAATAAGGCGAGGATTGGCAGTTAAGCCTGCTTAACCTGCGATTGAAAGTAAAGTTTTGTGTATAATCCTAACAAATCCGGGAACTTAATTAATGAAATCGCGGTCCTAATTGATGACAAATGATCGCTATGTTTCAGTGATGGTCGAATGATTCAACAGTGTGGGTGGAGTAATGTTGGAAATTCTGAAAATACTTGAGTTTTCTCCGGAAAAATGTAAAGGCGGGATTTCTCCAATGCCGATTGGTTAACACACTTGGACGTGCCAAATTTTTAGGTGCCGCCCTTTACCGCATCTTCGAGTGTCCCAAATAACTCACACATGGAGTCGTCTGAGATCGACAAGAGTTGCTCAAGCACGAAAAGTTCCAAATACCAATGGGTAGTCGAACACACGGGCACCTTGGAGTTAACCTTTTTATGGGTTTATTAGGGATTGTCGATTTGAAACCGGAAATTTAGCAAATCCAAGGGGTTTTTTTTAGAGTGAATTAAACCGTGAGCGTAAAGCAAAACGCCGCTCGGTTCGACGTTTTAAATAAATTGCTACGACCCTAGTAAAGCGATAAAGAAACACGAAGGAAACTTGTTCTCGGGATTGGGGTTAAAATCCTAAGAATTTGAAGAATCCGATTATTGAATGCATGAGGTTGAATCTAATGTGTCATGATGTATGTACGCAACACATACGTAAAGCAGTATTCGATGAATGTTATTAATCGACATCGTTCAATTTCTCTCTTCCCCATTTTCCTTTCAAATTCATTCGGCAAAGAGCATCTCGCAGCTTTTGTTATATCATCTCGAGTTGTACGTGACCCAAATCTGTAGAGTTCACGTATCGGTCTCCAAACGTACCTATTCAAAAGGTCTTACTCTCGTTATCATAAAGGTCTCTTACGTATTACAAAAAAGCCCGTGGACTTTTACGTATTTCATCTCGTCTACTCAAATCTATACAAATCTCCAGGAACACCAATATTTTCTGAGAAAGCCAAAGCATATTCGGTAGTAACATTCGCTTGAATTTTGTCACAATCGTCTACACTCTTAAAAAAATAATAATTTGATAACATTTTCGTTGGAAGTATTGTTCAACATGGCATACGAATTTTATAAAATATTTGCAAAGAATTTAGAGAATGTGTTACAAATTTAGAACATAAATGTATTAATTTTCCCACGTAATTTAACAAAATTATAACATGATATCATAAAATTATAAATTTCTTTAGAAATTTGTAATAAATATATACTAATTCGCCAGAACTCGAAACAATCCCAGAAACTGATGGCAGTTGGCGGAGTTTGAAGTCACAATTTCGTATTCCATTTTTTCCTTTGATAAGTATTTACCAAGTTATTAACAAAGACAGTTCATCCATCCCAGACGCGCGATTCGAAACTGATAATATCAATATGAAGCTCGGCGTCTCGCAGTCCCAGACGCTTGTTTTTATTTAATTTAATCTTTTCATTTTCAGTCGTTCTTTAAATTAATCAAACATAATTTTAATACCATACCAGACTAATTTAATACCAATAATTTCAAATAATAAGATGTGAATAATTAAAAATGCATCTAACTACTAGTTGATAAATGATTTATCAAATAAATCACCATAAAATCAATCAATTAAATAAATTAACTGGTTTAATATACTTTACTAGAAAAATACATTGTCATAATTAATTAGTAATTTATTAACGATCAAATATAACTTGTGAGTTATGAAACTTGTATTATTCAAATTGTTTGTAATTACTCTTACTTAATAAGAATATAATTGTAACATCGGTCATATGCGAGTAAAATATTGACGTAAAAAGCTGGTAACACTGTTCACACGTGGATGCACATGTGTATGGATACAGTGCCATATCTGCAAACGGTGAACTTAATAAACTTGTAACCATAAATTCAAAGATTTATATCTTAACTGCACAAATAGCGAAGACTCGGAATAAATAAGTTATGGTTATCGTTTCTTTTTCTATAAACTTCATCATATTGATATGTTTGTGGTATTCTTGGAATAAACGTTTATTAATTGTTTTGTATTAAAATTAGGATTATTTTGATTATTTTGGTTTTCGTTACAAACATACCCCCTAGATACCTATTACAGCCGTATCTCGTAAGGGGTACAATTGTACCACGTGTGTCAACTCTGTCTTGAATAATTTCTTCAACATACTTGTACCGAAAGTACGTACAGAAAAATGACTACAACTTATCGTTAAAGTCACATCTGTAATATATTTTTTTTTCTCGGATATTTTTGAGCAAAATATCCAAAAAGAATGTTCTACTCATAATCGTTATAGTTATACCCGATTTCTCCTAATCAACTATAGCTGCAGATCGCGAGCTTGCCGATACGTCCTCGTGCAGTAACACACGTGTAGCGTCGCCACGAGTTTCACATTCGAACCAAAGAGTGTTAGATAGAGCGGAAGGTCCCCTAAGACCGCAATGTAGTTTTACGTATACGGTCTTCAGGACTCCCCCATGGGTTGGAATATACACTAAATACTCCCCACTACTTCACAGTGCCTCATCCAGCGAGAAATTTGAATAGGTGATAAGGAACGCAATAAAAAATACGCATAAAAAACACATAATAAAATATTTATTTCACAACTTTTTTTGATAAAGATTTACAATGAAAATGATAAACGCTGATGTCTGTCGAATTAATTTGTTTTGTGGGTACATTTTCTGCATTCGTATGATGGGAAGGGTTCCAAGATTGGATAGTAGGAATTGCACTACAAACGAGTAACGGTCTGGGATGCCTTTTCCATATTAACACTATGCCGTCCGGCGACACCACAGTGGTGACGTGCGCAAAATAGCGGTCAACGGCCGGTGACACCACAGTGGTGATGTGCGCAAACTTTTGGCCAACGGCCGGCGACACCACAGTAGTGTCGATAACGTCAAAAACGGCCGGCGACAAGTCAAGTCATCCGAATTAGCGCTGCCGGCGCCAAGCGAATAAATATTTACGAATCGTGCGGACGGCAAAGTGTTAAGTATCCTTCTGCCCAGCAAATTCTGTCCACAAATGACGACTGAAATACATAATGCCAGTTAAGAAGTTTTCTTACGCTAGTACATAAAATTTACTATGATCGATATGAATAACTTAGAATCCCGCAAAAAAGTCAGCCAATTTACTTTCATATTCTGGAAATCATTTAGGAAAAATTCAATTGATGTTAATTGAATTTAAAATTAATCATTCACAAAATGCATATAACCTGTAAAATGACACTATATATTTTCCTCCTACTTACATTGTTGGTTCCTTCGGCACACGGAAAAAGGCGAGTCCCTTATGATTCTTCGAGTTCTTCTTACATGTGCGGAAGTTACACGTTATCACCATGATTGAATCCGTATCGTTTTCAATCCGCTAACGTCCTTAGATCGGCTCACACTTTTTGTTGACATTCAAATAATGCCGAAACCGACGCTTCCCCAATGGATACCACTGCGCATGCCCAACCTGAGATTAGTACAAATTCCAAACTACAGGGCTGGTGGCGCTGATGTCAGTATACGCTTACCTTCCGCTCTATCCAATACTCTTTTATTAGGACTGACGGTGCGCAGCTCGTAGAGCGCGCACACACGCGTGACAACGCCGAACGAGTCACGCGTGTACGGCCCAGAGTACAGTCCGCATCGCCCGCGCACACACGTGAAGACCTCACACCGGTCACTCTCGGACTGATCGAGCGCGCGGCTGGGAATTCACCCGCCCACTCGTCCCGCTCCAATTGGCCGAGGCTGCAACTCGCGGGAAACACGTGGCGTGCGTACGTCGGTCCGCTCTGACTAGAAGGCGTCATTCGCGCCGCGGAAGTCAGCGGCGTCAACACCGACGCGAGTCGAGCGCCACCCCGAGGTCGCGCACGGCGTCATCCGACCGTCGCGATTTCACGGGCCTACGCCAATGCATATTACGGAAAGCCCATGTAGACCGGCATGTTATGCCTTCCTAAATCGATAGCGCCGGAACGGAGGGCAGAGGGTGGGATGGCGACAAAGCCCGGCTCCAGAGTCGTCTAGTAAGACTTGCCTCGCGACCCGGCGTAAAGCCGAATCGCCCCGCGAGCCTCCTCTTTTCCTTCCATTTCTTTTACATCTTATGACGCCCATGGACCGGCATTAAAGGGGGAGTCTAATGTTTCCCCCGCGGTGTCGAGTATTAGCTCATAAAGTTAAGGTAACGTGAAAGGGTCATTCTATATAATGAAGGAAATATTTCGAAGAGACAAGGCAAATTATCGGAGGTCCATGGGCGGACCTATTCCCAGAATCATGGGCGAGGAAAGGCGAGCATGTTTACAAGATATGAGCATTGCCTAAACAATTGATACGGCTAGACCAAGACGGTCCCTGCGAACAGTGGACGGGACGGCACTTGGTCGAGAATCATAGAAGGGAACAGTTGGACCAATTTCTACACGAGGCTTACATATATCATTTTTAACGATTAATAATCTGTGAATCTACGAAAATATAGACTTGTTAACAGTACTTCCGCTTCGGTAATTTCACCTCCTACAATAAATAAAACGTAAAAATATTTGTAAAACTTTTCTCCAAACTGAATGGACCGAATCGATGAAAGTTGCAGCATGTGATTATGGAGGCCCGAAGGAAGAACGTGGTACTGGTGAAATTTCATTTTTAGTAAAAAATTGTTGTTATTTATCCCAGACTAGAACCAAGTATACATATATATATATTTTTTTTATGAAATTCCGTGAGCACCGCGTTCTTTTTTAGAGCCTTCATAACCACAATCTGATGTTTCAAATGATTCAGTGCACCCAATTTGGAGAAAAGTTTTATAAATATCATTACGTTTCATATATGCAGAACAACCCTTTCATGTTACTTTAACAACCGCCAAATTAATGTCGATGTTTCCGTTCGCAAGACCGAGTTGTGTTTCGATATCGGTCATAAATTTAGTCGCCCTTTTTTAATTCGCGCGACGATGGATTTAGCACGCAAGTTCCTGAAGAGCACGGAAGTTGGAGCTCCGTTGAAAAGCGAACACTTTTCATATTGGGATCCAATTACGCCGACCTATATTTCACGATACCTTAATTAGTTTTGGTCGGCCCGATGGTGAAGATTTTCCAGCAATGACCGAGGCTTAAGAGATTCATTTACGAGTCAATTACGAGGGGGAAGACTTCGACGCTTCTGAAGTTTCTTTTTCGGAATTGAAATCGGCCCGAAGGAGAGGATTTATAAGCGAGTCGCCTCCACGACCGGTTAAAGATGCGATTATTTCATCAGAACGAAAGCAGTGCTCGTTCAAACGCCGAGTCTACTGGGTGGAATTGACAATTATTTTCATTACTATATCCAGGGTCAAAAATGAGCCCGTTTAACCCTTTCGCATCTCTGACCGAGATATGTGGTCCTGGTCAGGGCCGTTCGAGATGAGTGCGATTCGATATGCGATATCTCGCCTTCGAGTACAAAAGGGTTAATCAATTTCAAGTTGCGTAATACATTTATGCGCCCAGGTGATGATTAGATTGACATGAGTGCCGATAAAAAAAATTAACTTGCGAAATTGGAAGATGAGGAAAGCCCACTCTCCTAGGAAAACACCTAATATCATAAATATAAATTCCGTGATATATTTCAAATCCAAACATGAGCTTCAAAATAATCGCCCGATATTAACTAAAATTTCATTTTCCCCGCACTCAATACAGTTGATATTACAGCAAACAATTCCGAATTAATTGGTTCTCAAATTCTAAGTATTTCCGACATTCATCATTTTTAATTCTGAAACTGTCCATTGGATAACAGATTAACCAGAGAAAAGTGCGTAATCTTATTTAAACTATCGAATACATTGATATCACTATTTTATATGCATACAATAAACTATATAGCTTGCAAAAAAGGGGTAACACCTAGAAATCAAAGTATATCTGATAACCATATATATTGTTTAGCGTAATGAAAGAAGACTACGAGTCATTGCAAGGGTCTTGAAGCCAAAATTGGATCACTCCCTCTCTCTTTACATTATTCCAAAGAATATATGAGCCGCTCAGTGCACACATCGACTAATTCCACTTTTTGAAAAATCTTAAATTTAGGTGTCAAAGCACTTGGTATAGTCATAACTTTTTATATTTATAATATCTTTCCTGATTAATAGAGATTAACACCATTAAACGGCAAAATTTTTTTGGGCATTGAATAATAAGTAATTTATTTCAGAAGCCATTATGATTAACTCCATCCTCTAATGTAAATCGTAGACGAATACCTGGCAGTACAGTATTATTGGATTATCTGTTGCGGCCGTACATCGACGCTTTTTTTTTTTAAACAGCCGAAGATGCTTTCCCCCTTTTAACAATATGAGTAATAAAATTGCATCAGCAAACAGATAGAAAGAAGCGCAATGCAGACGGTAGTTATCTCTCACGCTGAATGTTACTGTATACTTCACCAATATTACACGGACTTCATATTTTTTGGTCTTTTCAACATTACTCCCTGATTGTTTTTAAAGAACTAAATATTATACCGTTATAATCAAGATGAGTGAAACTAATAACAATGTGGATGTGGAAAGCAGTGATGATTCTTCAATACGATTTATCAGCAGAAAGTCTGGGGCAAGAACACGTTTATCGTGTTTCTCCGATTCATCTGACTGCAACGGTACAAATTCCCCAACAAACACATCGATTGGGAGGAAAAGAAGTCGTAATCCTGATAAATGGGCACGAAATTTACAAAAGCATAACGGAACAAAAGGTTTGGCATACAGGAATAGGGGAGGAAATTTAATACCTGCAAAAACATTCGTCGATATAAAATGCAGACGATTATTTTTTGGCTATTCTTTCTTATTAATTTTATATACCGTTAGATGAAAACTATAACTGTATTTATGTATTCTACATTATATATTTGAAGTTATACTATAATAGGAATTTTAAAAAAGAATCTACATTACTTCATCGCATTTCTCAACTTTTTGTTTTATGGAGTTAAACAATGTGTGCACTGAGCGGCTCATATGTTAGTCTCTGATTTGCACGAGTTTCATTTTCAAGTGTAGTGATTTTTTGACGTCTAGTGGATTTCCTTCTCGCCGTCAAAATGCAATGCACTTCCAACTTCGCACGCACTCCACCGTGCGTCCTTAAATTCCCCCTACACATTTGCGTCATAGCCGAAGAACTTCAGTTGGTCGTAAATATTGACGTTAAACAAGACGACCAACGCGTTGCGCCGTTACAGCATGTACAAACGTGAAATAAAAGGGAGCCATGCCAGTGTTGGTCTGGGCATCGTTCCGTCAATGGAACGGAACAAATAAATGAACAATCGTAATGGGTCACGTTTTTGCTGGAAGGGGGTATTCATTCGTACACGTACGATTGTAGGTCATGCCGTTTTCGTGGACCCACCATTTAAAGAACTCTGAACCATCTTTAAAATTCTACAGTCGTAGTTTTTTGCCGAACCTCACAGGAGAAATGTTTAGGAAAAAGTAATGACTCTTCAATTTTCTTTCTCGGTCGCTTCTATTATTTAACACGATCGAGTTCTGACCACCAACTTTCAACGAAAATTATTCAATATTTGATTTCGCATCATTCGAGTTATGACGCATTTTTAGGAGAGTCGTATGAAATTGAATGAACTAAAATGAACTATAGGAACATGGTTCGTAAAAAAAAAAGGAAAACTATGGCCACGGATTATCATTAACCCTCTGAGTAGCGTGTGACCCGATAACCCTTAATCGAGCGTGGCTCTCAAAGGGTTAATACGTAATAACGCATATTTGGTGATATAAAAAAAAGAGTTTCGTGAAGATTATATTGTTGGATTAAGTTATTAATTATATCAAGGCCAGACTGTACAAGGAGTTCGGAAACGATTGTACTAAATCGTCGGAGCACGTAGCATTTGTGATACATTCAGAAATGTATATCTGAAAATTATTTATTTTATAAGCCGTAAGTTATAATCTTAAAGAAGTCGGCATTAAAGTGAGTGTAACATATTAAGGCAAGCGCTGGGCACAAAAAAACGAAAAAATTATCGTTCGCGTATTATGATTGCCAGCTGTCCTTTGAGCAATGCCTTACTTAACGTTCAGAGTTAATATATAATTACATTGTAATGGCTTATTAGACTTCGTAAAATATTCCTTCATTTTACACCAGTGACGTAACAGCAGGCTATCTTTTCACAAGACCACTATGGTTTCAGACTTCGTATAAATAGTTTAGACATATCCCAAGCAGCACGATGCCTAAAAGATGTCAAGGGTTGAAACTGGCATCTATCACGGTTACATGAATGTATCATTTTTTGTAGAGAAAGTGTTTCCAACTCTTTTTCATCTAAAAATAGAATTCCATTCGCATTACCAACTCTTACCGCTTCAGGACTACAAGTTGCTTGAAAGTGTTTCCCATATAAATTTGGCGCATTCTGGGCCACTCAGTATATATTGCACTTAATTATGGCATGTAATATATTTGTATTCGTAATTTTGTATGGATACTGTCAAGATGTTGTTACCTCTGAAACATAACTACCCTCTTGCCGAAGAGTCGTAACTCACAATGTCGGCAACCTTCAAAGTTTGCCGTCGTTTCTTTAAAAACGTCGTTACCCCTTTCTAAACCGGCATGTCCG